TCTCTGTGCATTGCTGCTCTGAGCAGAAACATTGTCCTCCGGGCTTGGTGAGCCAGGATGTGCTTCACTCTTTTTTTTCCCCCTTCCCCCCTTGTTGGCTCCTGTGTGCTCTGATCAGACAAGTCCCTCTCCTTCTGCTATAGCTTCAGTGTTGTCCTGTGAAGTGAATTCTTCTAGGGGGGAGGGTGGTGCTGTCCACTTAGTTGGGAGCGGGGCTGGCCCCAGCAGTGAGGGGTTTTTCCTTTCCTGTTTTATGTGGTCTGGTCTGGGAGGTCCCTGTGAGTAACCACACTGGAGGAACCCATCCTAGTGACATCACTACCCCAACTCAGCCTAAAATTCTGGGACCGCCATTGTTCTGGTGGAGAGGTACATAATTGGACATTCTGCATTGCAGAGGGCTGGTTCCTGACTTGAGCCACAAATAATGGGCCCATTCCCTTAAAGAGTGGGTCATATATTGACTTTTTAAGATGTTATTATAGGGAGGACATTCATCAGGAGGGAGTGAAGATTGATTCTCTCATTGTCACCGAGTTAATTCCGACCCATAGAATTCCTATAGGACAAAGTAGACCTACCTTTCGGGGTTTTCAAGGCTATCAATCTTTATGGGAGTAGAAAACCTTATATTTCTCCAATGGAATAGCTGGTGGTTTTGAACTCAGAAGCCACTATTTTATTGGATCTTTTTTTAAGGTACCCTAACAAGACTTAGATAAGTATATTATTCAGAGAACTTGTCTTAAGTCATTCACCAATCACAGAAACATGTTAAGCACACTGTTTGTAATAGATCCATGTATATATGAACTGTAACCCTCATATATGAAAGGTTGCAGTGCATACATATTTGAGTTATGTTGCTTGTCAGACCTACTGGTTAAAATAACTATGGTACCTTTACAATTTTTTTCCTAGTAAAATAGTAACCCCAGGTACCTATGGCCTCAAATCTTAGATTTCAGAATTAGAATAGATTCTTCAGTAAAGGTATTGGTAGTACCTAGCTGTTTTAATCCATGCTTGTCTTCTCTCATTCTGTTGCACTGTGGTGGCTTGTGTGTTGCTATGATGCTGAAGCTCCACTGGAATTTCAAATGCCAGCAGAGTCACCGAAGGTGAGCAGGTTCCAGTGGAATTTCCAGACTAAGAAGAGACTACGAAAAGGAAGAGACGGTCCACTTCTGAGGGATTAGCCACTGCCAAACTCGTGAATAGAGCAGAGGGACATGGTCCGATAATAGTGCCAGAAGATGAGCCCCATAGATTCTAAGGCACTGAAGATACAACTGGGGAAGAGCTGCCTCCTCAAAGCAGAGTCATAGATAGAGTAAAACTTCTAAGACCTGCATTTGCTGATGGGGTCTGATGCAAAATGCGAAGGAAAACAGCTGCAGACATCTATTAATAATCAGAATGTGGAATGTACGATGTATGAATCTTGGAAAACTGGGAGTCATCTAAAGTCATAGAGAACACATAAAGATTGGTCCCCTAGGCATTCGTGAGCTGAAATGGATTGTTATCCGCCATTTTGATTTAGAAAATCACATGGTTTATTATGCTGGGAATAACACACTCCAGAGGAATAGTATAGTATTCCTCTTCCGAAAGAGCATTTCAAGATCTACCTCGAAGCACAACATGGCCTGTGATGGGATAATTTCTACCCACCTACGAGGAAATTCAGTTAATGCAACTGCTATTCAAATCTATGCACTGATCACTAAAACTAGTGATCAAAGAAATTATTCTATCACTTCTTCAGTCTGAAATTGGTCAAGCAAGCAATCAAGATGCTAACTGTTGGCAATTTGAATGCAAAAGTCAGAAACAAATAGGAAGGAACAGTAGTTGGGAAATATGGCCTTGGTAATACAAACGAAGCTGGAGATAGCATAATAGACTTTTGTACAATGCGGGACTTCATCGCTGCATATACCTTTTTTCAACAACATAAATGGCAACTATATAGATAGAACATAAAAAGCAAACCAAACTTATTGCCACTGAATTGATTCCCACTCTGCAACCCAACAGGACAGAATAGAGTTGGCTCATTGGTTTGGAGACTTTAAATATTTCCAGGAGTAGACCGCCTCTTCTTTCCCCTGTGGATACAAATTGATTGCGTCTGTGGGAAGGTCAACAGCCAGAAGAGAATGTCCTGCTATATTTATCGCCCCGACAAATGGAGGGGTCAGGTTTCAGTTAGGGTCCTTAGGTTCCTCTCCATTAAAACAGCTGCAGTTCTGTGTCCCTGGTCGGTTCTGACTCAGTGACCCTATGCCACATCTGCACAATTTTTGTTATGCTTGAGGCTTTGCTGCAACCACTCTGTGTGCATCCTTAATGGTCTCCCTCTGTTTCATGGGCCTTCTACTTCACAAAGCATGATGTCCCTTCCCAAGGACAGACCTCTCCTGATAATGTGTCCATAGTATGTGAGATGAAGTCCTTTTATCCTCACTTCTAAATAGCACTCTGGCTATACTTCCAAGATAGATTTTGTTTGCTCTTTGTCAGTCCACATTACTTTCAATATTCTTTGTTAGCATCATTATTCAAAGGCACCGGGTCTTTTTCATTTTTCCTTATTCATTGGCCAACTTTCACAAGCAGATTAGGTCATTGAAAATGCTATGACTTGGGTCAGGAGCACCTTAAGCCTCAAAGTGGCATCCTTGCTGTTCAACCCATAAAAAGGTCTTCGAAAGCTTACCCTTTGTACAAGCACAAAACCTCATTTGGTGTCTTGACTGCTGCTTCCACAAGCACTGGTTATGGTTCCAAGCTAGATGAAGTTTTTGAGAACTTTGATCTTTCTCTCTTTTCTCAATTTATCATGATGTTGTCTATTGTCCTCATAAATCAGGTAGAAGAAGTTTTGTTTTCGTTATATTGACAACATCATGATACGTATGGAAACGAATATTGCTGCGGCATAGGGTCACTATGAGACAGAACCGACCCAGGGACACCGAACTACCGCTGCTTTAATGGAGAGGAACCTAAGGACCCTAACTGAAACCTGAATCCTTCGTTTGTCAGGGCAATAAATACAGCAGGACTTTATCTTCTCCTTTTTATCTTCTCTAGAGTGAACATAATAAGGCTGTACACTTTGATTTGATTTTGAGATGATTTGTGAATTATGATGACATCTTCTTCCTCTCTCTTGTCCTTTGCAGTTTGTGGTTTTAAAGGAACACCAAGAGCTCAAGTGTGGCAGTCAGCCGGTGGGCCCGACGGACATTCAGGCAGCAGACGTTGGTCAGCTTCCTTCTCTGGAACCTGGTGAATGATTACAGTTTCATGTATCCTGAGAGCTTTCAGTTAACACACTTAGCTAACCACATGGAAAACAAACCAGTTGCCTTTTAGCCAATCAGATATACAGTGGCCACATGTGTGTCAGTTGATAGGCGGTTTTTGGAAGCAGATGGCCAGGGCTTGCTTTTGTGGCACCTCCTGGTAGACTCAAACCTCCAACTGTCTGGCTAGCAGCCTGCCTACCCTGGTAACTGTTGGCACTGATCAGGAATTTCTAACCACCGAAACAAGTAGGTGGATTGTATCATCCACGTGAGCAGCTGAGCTGTATTGGAAGGTCATGGAGCATTCACAGAGCTGAATTGGACTGGCCGCTTATTTGATGTGAGGTCACCAGAGCTCCTTCAAACATGGGTCACAGAGCATTCCGCATGGCAATCTGCTAGAGCAGGCATACAATGATACCTTGTTGTGAATTAGGGTGGGTCCTAAAAATCATTCCTGGGATTTAAGCCCCACACTGGTAGTCGTACATATCACACCAGAGAAGCTGGAAATGACTGGGGGAAACAAACAAACAAACAAACAAACAAACATGTTGCATGTTCCGGCGAGAAGGGCTGATGTGAGTTCAAGTGGACCTGAAGGCTGTCCTGAGGATTTGGGAATTGTTGAGTCTTACCCGAGGCTACACTTCAATGAAATGCCTGGCCATCTTTGAAGTCAAGCCAAGCCAATGGGCAGCAGGCCCATAAAGTTGACTCAGGTTCTCAGGCTGTTCTGAAACTCCATCTGTTTCTGATGGAATTCAACACCCTCGGACGTACTACCTTTGCCAAGAGTTCGATTGTGAGAAACCTCTTAGACTTGCATCTCAGCTCTCACATTTCTGCTTAGGTCCCAGAGGGTAGTGTTGAACATGGTTTTGTATCCTAAGCCTTTGGCAGGGTTCAGAGAAACACTGAGCCGATTAAAAACAGTTCCTCTGCTAATATTTTCTGATATTTGTCCTTCAGGACGCAAGCTTATGACCTTGCCCTCCTCAGATTTCTTGGTAGAGAAAACATAGGCTTCTTGTTTCAAAAGGATCACTCTAAATTCCCACCTCACACACATTCCCAAATAACCCAAAATATTAAATTCCATGTAAGTTATACCTTAGAATATTAAAGCTATAATAAATGACAGTGGCTTTTAAAAATATAAATACAGTGGTCCCTCTGTTATCTGGATAATTAAAACATTCAGCATTTTCAAAATTTTGCATGGATTTTTGCTTTTTTTGGTAATATTAAAAAGCAATATAAAAATGTTAAAGAGTATCTTTAGTTATATACTACTTTTCCTTAAGGGAATAACTATATAATTCTTGTAAAGGTAATTTACTTAATGTACATATTCATGTATTTATATTCATAAATATATATGTTCATAGAGTATATTTGTATTTTTAATGTAATATTTCAAGTTACTCAATAGTAAGCTTACAGTTAAGCTCAGAAAACAACTAAGACACTCACAAAAGCTTGTCGACTACTCGGGAATAGGCTAGAATGTTCCATTTTGTGCTTTCTGTTGTAAAGAGTTTGACCCATTTTCCAGACTACTCATATAAGCTCACTGCCATCAAGATGATTCTGAGAAGTGGCTTGTGGGTTGAAACTACTGACACTGAAGTTAGCAGCCCAATGAATATCGAACATCATCAGGTTTCCTCATATACTGCCTCCTACTATGAGTGAACACATGGTCAATTATGTCTTGCTGTTTCATAAATGCCAACAGTGAAAGTAGAGCTTGAGGTGGACATGGGGATGTTAGAAGGATATTTGAATGAGATATGAGAATAAGATCCATGATTAAGTAGTAAAAGATCATGTTAAAGAGATGCAAGCGTGTCTGTCCCCTAGCCACCTCCTTCTGTGCTCTTGAAACGCCATCAGAAGCATAGGCTGAACTAGTGATGATCACCTGTAGGTTAGGCGCAGCATTCCGTGTGAGGAGCAGTGTGTTTGAAATGGAAGGCCAATGCTGAGATCCTTTATTATCCAGATGTAAGGAGATACAGCACACAGCGAAAGCTAAAGAGCAACATCAGGAAGAATGTTCCTTTGAATCATCTCAAGTGTGACAAAGGCATTTTAATTTTTAAGGGGGGATTCATTTTGTGTATCACATTTCAGGTCTGTTCTCCAACCACCACCTGGGTTCCCTCTCTTTTCTAGCTGAGCACTGTGAATCATATGAATACTGAATCTTCTTTTTTCTTTCTTTAATGTAGGATCGGTGCAGCCAACTTCATATGGAAAGTAGCCCCAACCTCATGGAATGGGCACAGAGTAAAGCTACTGGAGCCCACTATTGACTAATAACGCCTCCAGTCCCCAGGGAATCGAACAAAACCTTCATCTACCCTCCTCTGTCACACAGGCCTTTGCTGTGGATATCGAGAAGGCTCATTCTTCTTCCGTCAGCTAAGCTGTATGTCCACAAAGGGCTTCTGATCCACTGTGCTGCATCCAATAAGATCAATGGAGCCAACTATGAAAAATCGGAATTAAAGGGAAGGTCAAGGTGGACAAATGAACAAATTGTGTCAATGAAGAGTGTATTTTCTTTTCGAAAGTAGAGGGGAAAAAAACCAGATTCTGGCTCCTTAGATGTCTGTGCAATCAACCAAGTAGATAAATATATAACGGTGCCTTTTGTTTGTTCCTTCGGGAGGTTCTAGGGCAGATTTTCAAAGAAGAATAATCAGGAGACTCACTAGGTAACTCATTAGTAACCAAAATGGAGATGGTAGTGATTTGAAAATTGTGTTATCTTCAATCAACAAATCTATAAATAGATTTCCCCCCTCTGCCCACCAGTCTGCAGTCACAGAAGATATCCGGTAAAAATAGGTAGCCACACAGGTTTGGCCAATTACAAGGTATTGTTTTCTTTCACCTCAGCAGAACATTCAGCTTAATCTTATGGAATGATTAGAATATAAAATTACTGCTAGAGACACTCTACAACAAAGACACAAGAGACTAATGAAACCAATCCAGATGACAATCCTGGAATTGCTGAGTTTCAAAGGAAAGGATAGAGACATGGATTTATCTGTGAGTAGACTC